TTCTCTGTGTAAAAGCTTTTGTGTGTAAAAGTTTCTGTGTGTAAAAACCACTTTGTGTAAAGACTTCTTTGTGTAAAAGCTTCTATGTGTGAAAGCTTCTCTGTGTGAAATGTCTGTGTAAAGATTTCACTGTGTGTAAAAGCTTCGGTGTGTAAAAACTCTCTGTGTAAAGTGTAAAGGCTTCTCTGTGTAAAAGCCTCTGTGTGTAAACGCGTCTGTGTGTGAAAGCTATATATCTGTGTAAAGACTTCTTTGTGTAACAGCTTCTGTGTGTAAAGGCTCCTAGACGTTTGTGTGCAAAAGCTCCTTGGAGTAAAGACTTCTCTGTGTAAAACCTTCTGTGTGTAAAAAGCTCTTTTGTGTAAAGACTTCTCTGTGTAAAAGCCCCTGTGTGTGTAAATGCTTTTGTGTGTAAAAGCTCCTCTGTGTAAAGGCTTCTCTGTGTAAAAAAAGCTTCTGTGTGCAAACACGTCTGTGTGTAAAAACCCTCTCTGTCAGGCCTTCTTCGTGTAAAAAGTTTTGTGTGAAAAAGCTCCTAGACGTTTGTGTGCAAAAGCTCCTTAGGGTAAAGACTTCTCTGTGTAAAACCTTCTGTGTGTAAAAAGCTCCTTTGTGTAAGGACTTCTTTGTGTAAAAGCCCCTGTGTGTGTAAAAGCTTGCTGTGTGTAAACGCTTTTGTGTGTAAAAGCTCCTCTGGCTGAAGGCTTCTCTGTGTAAAAGCTTTTGCGTGTAAAAGTTGCTGTGTGTAAAAACCACTTTGTGTAAAGACTTCTTTGTGTAAAAGCTTCTGTGTGTGAAAGCTTCTCTGTGTGAAAGCGCGTCTGTGTAAAGATTTCACTGTGTAAAAAAATTCTCTGTGTAAACGCTTCTCTGTGTAAAAGATTCTGTGTGTAAACGCGTCTGTGAATGAAAGCTATATATCTGTGTAAAGACTTCTTCGTGGAACAGCTTCTGTGTGCAAAGGCTCCTAGACGTTTGTGTGCAAAAGCTCCTTAGAGTAAAGACTTCTCTGTGTAAAACCTTGCGGCCAGGTTTTGGCAAAAACGGCCGTTTCCCAATGATCCCAGAAGAGAAATTCAATAGCCGGCCGAGGGGCCGCCAAATGGCAGAAATTTGCTTCCAAAAGGCTCCCGGCCAGGATTTGGCCAAAAACGGCCGTTTCCCAATGATCCCAGAAGAGAAATTCAATAGCCGGCCGAGGGGCCGCCAAATGGCAGAAATTTGCTTCCAAAAGGCTCCCGGCCAGGATTTGGCCAAAAACGGCCGTTTCCCAATGATCCCAGAAGAGAAATTCAATAGCCGGCCGAGGGGCCGCCAAATGGCAGAAATTTGCTTCCAAAAGGCTCCCGGCCAGGATTTGGGCAAAAACGGCCGTTTCCCAATGATCCCAGAAGAGAAATTCAATAGCCGGCCGAGGGGCCGCCAAATGGCAGAAATTTGCTTCCAAAAGGCTCCCGGCCAGGATTTGGCCAAAACCGGCCGTTTCCCAATGATCCCAGAAGAGAAATTCAATAGCCGGCCGAGGGGCCGCCAAATGGCAGAAATTTGCTTCCAAAAGGCTCCCGGCCAGGATTTGGGCAAAAACGGCCGTTTCCCAATGATCCCAGAAGAGAAATTCAATAGCCGGCCGAGGGGCCGCCAAAATGCCGAAATTTGCTTCCAAAAGGCTCCCGTGTGTAAAAAGCTCCTTTGTGTATAGACTTCTCTGTGTAAAAGCCCCTGTGTGTGTAAAAGCCTGCTGTGTGTAAATGCTTTTGTGTGTAAAAGCTCCTCTGTGTAAAGGCTTCTCTGTGTAAAAGCTTCTGTGTGTAAATGCGTCTGTGTGTAAAAACCCCTCTGTGTAAAGACGTCTTCGAGTAAAAAGTTCTGTGTGAAAAAGCTCCTAGACGTTTGTGTGCAAAAGCTCCTTGGAGTAAAGACTTCTCTGTGTAAAATCTTCTGTGTGTAAAAAGCTCCTTTGTGTAAGGACTTCTCTGTGTAAAAGCCCCTGTGTGTGTAAAAGCTTGCTGTGTGTAAACGCTTTTGTGTGTAAAAGCTCCTCTGTGTGAAGGCTTCTCTGTGTAAAAGCTTCTGTGTGCAAACGCGTCTGTGTGTAAAAAGCCCCTTAGAGTAAAGACTTCTCTGTGTAAAAGCTTCCGTGTGTAAAAAGCTCCTTTGTGTAAAGACTTCTCTGTGTAAAAGCCCCTGTGTGTGTAAAAGCTTGCTGTGTGCAAATGCTTTTGTGTAAAAGCTCCTCTGTGTAAAGGCTTCTCTGTGTAAAAGCTTCTGTGTGCAAATGCGTCTGTGTGTAAAAACCCCTCTGTGTAAAGACTTCTTCGCGTAAAAACTTCTGTGTGAAAAAGCACCTAGATATTTGTGTGCAAAAGCTCCCTAGAGTAAAGACTTCTCTGTGTAAAACCTTCTGTGTGTAAAAAGCTCCTTTGTGTAAAGACTTCTCTGTGTAAAAGCCCCTGTGTGTGTAAAAGCTTGCTGTGTGTAAATGCTTTTGTGTGTAAAAGCTCCTCTGTGTGAAGGCTTCTCTGTGTAAAATAAGCTTCTGTGTGCAAACGCGTCTGTGTGTAAAAACCCCTCTGTGTAAAGACTTCTTCGTGTAAAAGCTTCTGTGTGTAAAGGCTCCTAGACGTTTGTGTGCAAAAGCTCCTTAGAGTAAAGACTTCGCTGTGTAAAACCTTCTGTGCGTAAAAAGCTCCTTTGTGTAAAGACTTCTCTGTGTAAAAGCCCCTGTGTGTGTAAAAGCTTCTGTGCGACTCCTCCCTCCAGCTTTCTTTCGGGTCACGCTGTCGTCCAGTTTCAATCTGCAACATTGTTTCTTGTGGAAGAAGGCAAAGAACAGGTGAAAGCATCGCAGTTTAAAAAATTGAACATAAACAGCGCACAAAGTGTTGTAATTTACAGCATTTTGCGCTGTCAGATGGCAAGAACCCGCGTAAATACCACAGTTTTAGTCCCCGAAAGTGGCTAAAACACTGTTATTTACAGGGTTTCGTTCACGTCACGATCTTCGATTTTTTGGGAAACGCGTAAATACCAGCGTTTTTTCCGTTCATCAAGGCAAAAAATCGGTTCAGAAAGGGAAGAAAATGCTGTAATTTACAGGGGTTTGGCGCCGCCACGGGCAAAAAACTGCGTAAATACCAGCGTTTCGGCGTCCAAAAGTGGCCAAAACACCGCTATTTACAGTGTTTCGTGCCTTCCACGTTTTCTTGAAATTGCAAAAACACTGTGAATACCAGCAGTTTTTGCGATCAACGCGCCAAAAATGCTGTAATTTACAGTGTTTTTTTGCTTGGCTTTCAAAAACACTGGTATTTGCGGTGTTTTGTGCATCTTGGGTCCAAAAAGTATTGGTATTTACAGCATTTTCTGCGTTTTTGCATGGCTCCCGCAAAAGATGTTAAAACGCAAAAATGCTGTAATTTACAGCATTTTGTGACTTTCGAAAAGCGAAAAATCGTCCGAAAAATGTGTCAAAACGGCGCTTTTTTCCGATTTTAGGTACCCTCCAAACGGGGGGGGGGGGAATGCTCTTGGAGACGCTTATGAGCGACCCGGATTCCGGCCAAAAAGCTCTCCCCCACCCTCCTGAAGGATTTTTGGTGTTTTTCGGGGCCCGGCGTCGGAGGGTCGGCGGCTTGGGGCGCGCCTCACCTTAGAGCTCTAGTCGCTCTGGGACGCTCGTAGGGCAAGCCACTCGTGTGGAGCCGGCGGAGCCGAATTTCACAACAATATACATAGGAAAAAGGGCGAAAGCCTCAAGGTGCGAAGCACCAAAAAGTTTTTTCCGGGGTCGGCGGCAGGGGCGGCAGCCCTTAATATAAAATGTAACAGTGATACCATGACGCCATGTGTGGACCATACAAAGAATAGTGAGATAGAGTGACACAGCTCTCCTCCTCCTCTTCATCTGCCAGTTTTTCCTTCAAACGTGATTAGTCGGCCAAAGAATGGTTTAATGCTGCCAGATCATGCCGCCAAATTGGCGCAGCCACAGCACATGCCATGTGCTAAGGCCAGGTCCCACTTGCTGTAGTCGTTCATTTGCCTTCAGGCGGAGAAAAATGGAGAAGAACTCTTTGTTCATCCCGAAAACAGGCGTTCCATACCTTTTGATCAAAAATCGGTCTTCCCAGTGAATGGTGGCAGCTTTCCCAGTGCTCCACATTTTACGACTCAAGCAGCATCACTGCCTCAAAAGCGATCCATACGCAGCCGTGGCGATATCCGAAATTTGGCACACTGTTTTGGCGTTGTTTTAAACTTTGGTATGTATGTATTATATGTATTATATGTCATATATTGAAACATAATATTGTTGAATAAATGTTGTGTATATATATATATATACATACATTATACAGTCATATTGCTTGAATTAAGTGCAGCTCTTTGTGCTATTTCTCAGTTGCCTTTGGGGACAGGCCTCAGGCACCATCCATATTTGTGAAGACTGTGAAGTGGAATGTGTATGAATGTGTGGCAATTGGGCAAAGTTCTCTACAACGATTTGCATGCCAAGTATTACGATGTCTGAAGACCTATGGTTCAAGTTGTTTCAAAATGTTTCAGGTTTCAAGTTCCTCTGCGTGGCCAGCTGAGATGCAAAGCTCGAGGTGAGTGTCGCAAGCGTGTTTGGTGACAGGATACATGATTTGCCACCAGAATAAATGTATCTACAGAGGTGTGTTAATAAATATTACATATTGCATTATATATAAAATAATATTGTATTATATTGTTATATAACAAGCAAGACCTCTGGTAGATTTAACGGTGCCATACGGTACGCCATATGGCGCTGTATTGGAACTTCGCAGCCTCTACCACTATTGAGTTGAATTAATTTGATGCGTTTGCTTTCCAAGATCTTGCAAGGTGGGTATCGCAAAATGCGCCCACAAATTAGAGCTGATACATCCCTAGACAGGTGTGCCTCCTTGTTCAATCTGAATTGGTTTGCACAATATAAATTCATGGTCAGACTCTGTACCTCGCCATTTTTTGTCACGATACGGCTGCATGACAACATGGCTGTATCGCAAAGAAAAGGGGTAGGGCGTCAAGATTTCAAACAGCGCCAGTACCTGGAGAAGTACGATCAACAACCAGGGATCACCACTTGTCGGCCTTGTTGTACACATAGTTTGCCACATCCTGGTGTTTGTTGGGACGCAATTGTGACTTGGGGGCTGCTGGTTCTGCACAAGTCCAAGAAATGACACTAAGCTGACCGAGAAAAACAACATGTATCTGTATATAAAAATAAATAAATATATATATATATATAATATAAATTTTAAATGTATTATTTATATATATATATAATAAACACAAAATAAATATATACATATATATAATTGTAAATAATATATATATATATATAAATATATATATATTATACCGTATACTATACCCATTAGTACCATTAGGTGCCTCTTTGTCTGTTAGTAGTAACCTGTGTAACAACTTATGTAACAGATCCAGCCTATCCCAGGATCATCCTGGAGGAGATGAGAATGCATGGGCCCAGACAAAACTCCAGCTGGGCTGTGGTTCAAGGGTGGCAGCATATAATGCTGCATATTCTATTGTTAACTGAACAATACGGTATACGGTATCTTTGGGGCGCTTTTGCCCAACAGAAGTATCATCCATCTCTTTGTCAGATTCATTAGGGACAGCTACCTGCGAGGGGCACTTCACAGGGGGCACAGCAGGTGTGCCAACAGGGACCGAAGCGGATCCTCACCATTGACCTTCTTCGGAGGCTGCTGATCAGAAGGGAACGTGAAGCGTAACTCATTGCGCAATGGTTGCGACCTGTGTTTCGACTGTCTGCGCATGGACTCCTTGGCAACTAACAGCTCAACAATCTTACCATCCTCATCTTCGAAAAATGGCTGAAACACCTGGTCACTCCCAAGGGCAATAACACAAACAAGCCAGTCCGTTGTTTGACCCCTCCAATTTTTTTCGCTCAACTCAATATCTCTAAACTTAAGAGAAGAGAGAATATCATTGACGACATCACCATTCCAGGTTTTGGGAACCCTGGAGGCCCTCCACATTGCAGGCTTGGTGGTAATGCGAGAGTCAGTAGGATCAACACGCAAAACAAGCTGGAAACGGCCATGAACTACACCATCACTAGTCACTTGCCATGCGTTTAACACGAGCATCATACACATCCTGCCATTGGATCCAGCGAACTGAAGTACGAGTAGGTGGAGGTGAAGACAATTGGCAATGAACAAGGTCAACATACCACCTTTGCACAATCTCCGTGTGTTTTGCACCAGACCCATGAACAAACTGCACATCTTGAAGCTCAAAGTGGAATGTATCACCCAGAGCGTTTGCACATTTACGGTGGTCGCCAGACGCTGCAGACATGCAAGCAAGTCAAATCCCTTTTGGCGTTTAGCCCTTTGCACCACCTTTTAGATTATCAAGCAGCGATGCGTCAGCGGGATCACCGTGATCATGACTGACATTGTTGAGGAGCTCTTGTAGTCCAGATAGCAAATCAGTCTTAGCGCCTCCACATAGGCGCTCAAATTTGCGGTCACTCCTGCACGGACGTTTCAACGTGTTGTTTGATTTGACAGAAGCCAAAGGTTAGCACCATGATTGGGGGGACCTCATCGAAATGAAAGAGTTCGTCCGGAATTTCCCCCCACACACACGTCCAGAGAAAAATCTCCACGGAGCAGCGATGATCCACACAAACACTGCACAAATTCACGAGGGATTCGGCGGATGTTGAAATAATTGAAATAATACAATTACTTCAACATAGCGAAGGTGCATTGCCAAAAATTGGAAAAGCAAACCATTTGCGGAACTTTCGAAGCCACTTACCAGCAATGGGGACGGCCAAGCCTGGGCTCCATCTGCAACTGATCAGCGACACCACTGACAACACGCATCTGCTCAAAATTGAAGGTCTTTGCTTTTTCACCTGAAGCTTGGGTTTCGTCTCAATCGATGCCGACGGCCATGGACAAACCGGGCACCGTAAAATGATCTTGTAGGCCGCACAAAAGCACAGGTAAATGAAAACCCATCCACGCAGCAATGCCAAATGCTGTATGAGTGAATTCGCTTAGTACAAGCTTGCTTCCAAGTCTTCAAAGGCAGGTCTTTATGTGCAGTTTTCCGATGCTTGACGCGCATTTGCTTGAAGACATCAGCAGAGATGCATTTGCGGTCTGCTACAGTAATGCCAACGGCACAAAATGGGCACTTCCAAGAAACCTCAGCATCATCAGGCAATGGTCTGAGGGAAACTGTTGGCCTTAATCGGCCAGGCTGGTACCGTCCTCCATGGGCAGCTCAATTGTGTGAATATCGAGCGCGGCACACTGTTTTTGAACTGGATCCCTCAATCACAAATGGACAATGAGGGCATTCCCATCTGAAATTCTCCTCACGGCCTTCAGCAAACCGTGAACCCCTAGACCAGTACGAGGGGCGAGCAGGAACTTGTTCAGAGGCATCAAGCATATCATCCAAATCCAAATGAGAAGAGGATAGAGGGCTGCAAACAGTACCAGGCGATGATTTTCGTTTGCGTGGGCTGTATCCAAACCGTGTAGGAGAAGATTTCCCCCCACACACGACATCTCCTGGTACTAGTGACCTTGGACTTGGATGGCGTAGCAAAATCTGCTAAGCAAGGTTCTGGATCAACATTGTTGGCCATGCCATTGCCATGCAACGACTGGTTGTCAGATTCTGAAGCGAAATCACCCAATTTGAGAGAAGGAGATTCGGAGCCACCACCACCACTGATTCTTTCTTTTCCGTGTTTCTTAGACCATCGCTTCAATTTATCTGCGACCGGTCCATCCATGAACTCATATGTTGTATCTCCGAATGGAAATCATCATGCGCAAATTCTCACACACGTCCATTTGAAGAGTATACCAGTATGGTACGATGCAGCGCAGTAGCCAATGCAAACATTCCAAATAACAAGCCCACACACCAGCCAACTGCAGGTCTTCGATGTAATCATCAAAGTTGCCTTTCCAATCGGCTCAATCTTCACGACTTCGAGCACCTGCTTTAACACCATCCCACAAAACGCTGTATTCCTCACGATGCCGCTTGTAAAAGGCACAACAAAAGGCACGAAGTGACCGTGCGGAAGCTTGCCAAGCGCCAGCATCTAACACAGGGGCCGACGATTGCTTTCGTCGTTTTGTATCATCAGTTGAGGATTCCATCTCTTTGTCACTTTCTTCAGGAACAGGTATTGCAGCAGCTTTTGCAACCTCTTTGTCATTTTCTTGTTTGTGCGGCGCAATCCCAGTTTCATGGTTCACCGCAGCACGCATCTTGTTGCCATGAGGAAAGGAAAATCAAAACTCATTGCGAACAGGATGAGAACGATGTCGTTCCTGTCTACGTTTTGCCTCTTTGGCAATCAGCAACTCGATAGTTTGACCATCATCAGTTTCAAAGTATGGTTGTAGCACTTCTGTAGTGCTAGGACCAACAGCCAACAGCCCGTACAAGCCAGTCAGTGGTTTGACCACGCTGGGGACGGCCAAGTCTGGGCTCCATCTGCAACTGATCAGCGACACCACTGACGACACGCATCTGCTCAAAATTGAAGGTCTTTGCTTTTTCACCTGAAGCTTGGGCTTCGTCTCAATCGATGCCGAGGGCCATGGACAAACCGGGCAAAATAAAATGATCTTGTAGGCCGCACAAAAGCACAGGCAAATGAAAACCCATCCACGCAGCAATGCCAAATGCTGTATGAGTGAATTCGCGCCACAGATCCCGTAAGGGGTACCGCTTGGAGGTGCGAGATACCGCCCCCTATGGGGGTTGTTTTTTATTCCTTTAAGATTGTTTCCATTTAGGAATTCTTGCGCCTCTCCCTTTCGCGCTCTTGCGCGGCCTGTGTTTCAGTCACTTTTAAGTTTTGGAAAGCTTTTTTATGAGCATGGTTTCACAAAAATGCTTAAAAATTGACCTGGAATCAGTTCGGCAAGAAAAGAATGTGGAGTCTGAGATGGTGAGCGGGAAGGTGTTTCGAAGTGGTCCAGTAAGGGAACCAAGTCACACAATCTACACATTTCTCGCGCAATTCCAAAGCAATGACGCTGTACCCGAAGAGGCATAGAGTTTTGGGGGCGCTCACGGGGCTTTGCCCTGTTTCCGGACAAGAGGCTGAGCTTAAAGACGACCATTGCCCTTCGAAATGGCCCGGCAATGAAACCAAAACATACAAAATCAACACATCTTTCCTGCAATTAAAAAGCAAAATAAAGCAATGATGCTGTAACCGAAGGAGCATAGAGTCTGAAATGGTGAGCCGGAAGGTGTTTCAGAGTGGTTTCAGACCGGTTTCAGACGCTTTTGGGGGCGCTCACGGGGCTTTGCCCTTTTCCCGGAAAAGAGGCTGAACTTAATGCTCCGGCAATGAAACCAAAACATACAAAATCAACACATCATTCCTGCAACTAAAACGCAAAATAAAGCAATGATGCTGTAACCGAAGGAGCATAGAGTCTGAAATGGTGAGCCGGAAGGTGTTTCAGAGTGGTTTCAGACCGGTTTCAGACGCTTTTGGGGGCGCTCACGGGCCTTCGCCCTTTTCCCGGAAAAGAGGCTGAACTTAATGCTCCGGCAATGAAACTAAAACATACAAAATCAACACACATCCTTCCTGCAGCTAAAAAGCAAAATAAAGCAATGATGCTGTAACCAAAAGAGCATAGAGTCTGAAATGGTGAGCCGGAAGGTGTTTCAGAGTGGTTTCAGACCGGTTTCAGACGCTTTTGGGGGCGCTCACGGGGCTTTGCCCTTTTCCCGGAAAAGAGGCTGAACTTAATGCTCCGGCAATGAAACCAAAACATAAAGATCAACACATCATTCCTGCAACTAAAAAGCAAAATAATTCAATGATTCAGTAACCGAAGGAGCATAGAGTCTGAGATGGTGAGCTGGAAGGTGTTTCAGGTTGATTTCAGAGTGGTTCTAGACAGGTTTCAGAGAACGTAAGCTTCTTTCCCATAAGGAAAGTGTCACAAAATAGAGGTGTCGACTTCCCTCTTCCAATATTTGTTTGGGTACTTGATTTCCAAAACGGCCGTTTTGGAAATCAAAAGACCCAAGGTGAATTAATAGAACGTAAGCTTATTCCCTGTAAAAAAAGTGTGATAAGATAAGGGCGTCGACTGCTCTCTTCAAATATCTGTTTGAGTACTGGAGTCCCAAAAGGGCCACTTTGGGCAATGTATCTGAGATGGTGAGTAGAAAGGTGTTTCAGACGGTGACCAGGTTCAGACCAGTTTCAGGCCAGTTTCAGACCTCTTTTGGGCCTGTCACTAGGCTATCTCAGCTTCCAATATTTATTTTGAGTACTTGCTTTCCAAAACGGCCGTTTTGAAAATCGATAGCCCCTAGGTGAATTAAGTGAGAACGTAAGCTTATTTCCCATAAGGAAAGTGTCACAAAATAGAGGTGACGACTTCCCTCTTCCAATATTTGTTTGAGTACTTGATTTCCAAAACGGCCGTTTTGGAAATCGAAAGCCCCTAGGTGAATTAAGAGAACGTAAGCTTATTCCCCCTAAGGAAAGCGTCACAAAATTGAGGTGTCGACTGCCCTCTTCCAATATTTGTTTGAGTACTTGATTTTCAAAACGGCCGTTTTGGAAATCGAAAGCCCCAAGATGAATTAAGAGAACGTAAGCTTATTCCCTGTAAGGAAAGTGTGATAAAATAAGGGCATCGACTGCAAAACCTCCCACATATAGACACACACACACGCACACACATGAGCAATGTGTCTGAGATGGTGTGTAGGAAGATACCCCCTGTTTCTGGAAACCGCAGGAGGATAGGCGTTTAGATGTTGTTCTGTGTCCTCGTGCCCAACCAATTCCAGGCCTACATAAACATATACATGCAATATATCTTAAGATATAATATGTAGGAAAATAAGAACGCAATTTGCATGTATATATAATTACGATCCTCTCAAGTTGCTTCAAACCCCCTTAGGGGCCATTTTAGAACCCAAAAATGGTTTCTAAAATGGAATCTACAAGGGGGGTCTTAGAACCCAATTTTTTTGGCAGCTATTCCGTTCTTGGGTTCTAAAATGGGTTCTTGAATGGTATCTTCCACCCTGAAAAGATCATTAAAAATCATCCAAAACTTGATTTACTCAATGATGCACTCATGCGTCAGACTCTTCAACATCTTCACTTCTTGTAATGGTCCAGTGTTTCCAAATCAACTGTTGGTATTATAGACCGATTCTGAAATATCATGAAATAGCATTAAATTGCTGTATTTCTCTGTAATGTTGTTAAAGCGTTATTTGATCTTATTTGACCTTCTGTGTATAGAGCTACATCTATGTGTTCTGAAATGGAACCCATGAGCCACAGATGTTGAATCACACTTTGGTACATGAAGGAAACCATTCTAGAACCCTTCCCTCCTTTCCACAAGAAAAATTGGGACATTCCAGATCAATGTGTTTCCAAATCAACTGTTGGTATTATAGACCAATGCTGAAATATCATGAAATAGCATTAAGTAGCTGTATTTCTCTGCAACGTTGTCAAGGCCTTATTTGATCTTATTTGACCTTCTGTGAATAGAGCTACATCTATGCGTTCTGAAATGGAATCCATGAGCCACAGGTGTTGAATCACACTTTGGTACATGAAGGAAACCATTCTAGAACCCTTCCCTCCTCTCCACAAGAAAAATTAGGACATTCCAGATCAATGTGTTTCCAAATCAACTGTTGGTATTATAGGCAAATGCTAAAATATCATGAAATAGCATTAAGTAGCTGTATTTCTCTGCAACGTTGTTAAGGCCTTATTTGATCTTATTTGACCTTCTGCGCTTTATGTACATATCCCCTTAATTTCAAAATTCTGCCTCGTTAATTCGGGGTGACGTCGTGACGTCGAATTAAATCGTACAGATACATAATCATATGGTATTATAATATAAATAAATATATATTTATGTTATAAATCTTAATGTATTATGCAAGCTTCCAAGACTCTACAATGCTTACGGGACCGGAGGTGCTACAATGATTTTTTTTCATTCTAGAACCCTCCGTGTTTATCCCCAGGGGGGTGGCATTCAAGAACCTTCCAACTTGAGGGTATTAATATGTATTAATTACGTATATATAATATCCTTGCGCTCTCCCTTGCGCGCTCTTGCGCGGCCTGCGTTTCGAGCCATATGGCTGCCAAGTTACAAAATCCTAAAATCAATTTTCCTTTGACGAGTACTACGGGGTTAAACAAAAACTCTCATGTATATCAGGGTATACGGTATACGGTATACGATTTAATACGAATTATATAATTATACCTGTGATAATGACACACAACCACTCTCTGTCTTGGACTTGTGATTTCATACAATTCGGTAGTATGCCATGTGCCATGCACTGTCCTCGATGTCATCTGGGCCGAGCTTGTCGCCGAAGGCAGGCATGGAGCCGTTGCCGTTGGTGACCTGCGTGATGATGGCACCCACATCGTACTTGCCGTAAGTGACCAGGGCATCCTTCTTCAGCTTCTTCTCTGCCACGATGCTGTTGTTGCCACCAGCATGGCAGGCAGTGCAGTTGCCCTGGAAGACGGCCTCGCCGTTCTCCAAGTCTGCTGCCAAGGCTGGTCGGGCAGTGGCCACAGCAGCCAGCAGTCCAAGGGCAGCACCAATGGCAATTGGGCTCCAAGATCCAGCAGACTCAGGAGCGACGCTGGAAGCACTTGGCTGTGCCACAGCACCGGCACCCTGCTGCGGCGCACCACGTGGTGTGCTTGCAGGAAGGATGAAGCAGCTGGCGCCGTAGAGCACCAGAGACACTGCGCACACGATGCTGGCAACGCGGGACATGGCAAAGATGAAACGCTACTAAAAACGTATCTGATGCCAAGTGCTTTGGATAACTGCAACAGGTAAGCCAAATATTCAAACAAGCAATCTCGAGTACTCATGAAAGCTTGCAACTCTCATGAAACAGCAAGAGTCAGCAAAAGACCACCACGACCAAAACAATTAATTACTGTACAAGACAATGCAAATCAATTCAAATCAATGCAAATCATAGGTCTCTTCAAGAGGATTCAGGAGGAGATTGAGAAGCACCATCAGCACTCAAGATTAAAAAAAAAACATCAAGTCCAAAGACATGCAAATGAAACATGCTGTCCAGCAGAAGTCCAGCCCCTAGTCGAGCTCCACCTAAATATCATCCAAAAATATCCAAAATCATTTTGTCCAACTCTTTCTATGTCGCTGCAGCGTTCATCCTCCAGAATCTAAAATCGTTCTGGAAAGGGCAAGATTTGTAACAAGGGCAACGTTGCTACGCGCAGGATGGCCCACCAGAAAAGATTAAGAATGCTAGGCACTCACAAGAACTCACCACTTGTCGGCCTTGTTGAACACATAGTTTGCCACATCCTGATAGTCATTCCCAAATAATTATTCCCAAAGCATGTTTGACTGCGTGCAGAGAAAAGGCAAAAGCGAAAACAAGAGCTGTGACAACCTTGAAAGTACAAGTACTGGCCTCTGGAAAAACAAAGCACCCAGGGTATATGTATATCAGGGTATACGGTATACGATTTAATACGAATTAATTATACCTGTGATAATGACACACAACCACTCTCTGTCTTGGACTTGTGAATTCAGACAATTCGGTAGTATGCCATGTGCCATGCACTATGCACTGTCCTCGATGTCATCTGGGCCGAGCTTGTCGCCGAAGGCAGGCATGGAGCCGTTGCCGTTGGTGACCTGGGTGATGATGGCACCCACATCGTACTTGCCGTAAGTGACCAGGGCATCCTTCTTCAGCTTCTTCTCTGCCACGATGCTGTTGTTGCCACCAGCATGGCAGGCAGTGCAGTTGCCCTGGAAGACGGCCTCGCCGTTCTCCAAGTCTGCTGCCAAGGCTGGTCGGGCAGTGGCCACAGCAGCCAGCAGTCCAAGGGCAGCACCAATGGCAATTGGGCTCCAAGATCCAGCAGACTCAGGAGCGACGCTGGAAGCACTTGGCTGTGCCACAGCACCGGCACCCTGCTGCGGCGCACCACGTGGTGTGCTTGCAGGAAGGATGAAGCAGCTGGCGCCGTAGAGCACCAGAGACACTGCGCACACGATGCTGGCAACGCGGGACATGGCAAAGATGAAACGCTGCTAAAAACGTATCTGATGCCAAGTGCTTTGGATAACTGCAACAGGTAAGCCAAATATTCAAACAAGCAATCTCGAGTACTCATGAAAGCCTGCAAATCTCATGAAACAGCAAGAGTCAGCAAAAGACCACCACGACCAAAACAATTAATTACTGTACAAGACAATGCAAATCAATGCAAATCATAGTTCTCTTCAAGAGGATTCAGGAGGAGATTGAGAAGCACCATCAGCACTCAAGATTTAAAAAAAAAACATCAAGTCCAAAGACATGCAAATGAAACATGCTGTCCAGCAGAAGTCCAGCCCCTAGTCGAGCTCCACCTCAATATCATCCAAAAATATCCAAAATCATTTTGTCCAACTCTTTCTATGTCACTGCAGCGTTCATCCTCCAGAATCTAAAATCGTTCTGGAAAGGGCAAGAGTTGTAACAAGGGCAACGTTGCTACGCGCAGGATGGCCCACTAGAAAAGATTAAGAATGCTAGGCACTCATGAGAACTCACCACTTGTCGGCCTTGTTGAACACATAGTTTGCCACATCCTGATGTCTGCTGGGAAGTAACTCTGACTTGGGGGCTGCTGATGGCTGATTACCCAGAAATCCCAGAAATGACATCGACTGAGACTGACCGAGACAAAACCACAATAATGTCATCCTTTTCGATCCTTTTCGTCCATCTTTCTCTATAGACATAGTAGAGCCACTACTTGTCAGTACATCAAACAGCCATGCCATTTCAGGATATTTCAGGTGCAACTATGCGCTACTCAATATCGAACTGTAAGAAATGCCATGTGCCATGCACTGTCCTCGATGTCATCTGGGCCGAGCTTGTCGCCGAAGGCAGGCATGGAGCCGTTGCCGTTGGTGACCTGCGTGATGATGGCACCCACATCGTACTTGCCGTAAGTGACCAGGGCATCCTTCTTCAGCTTCTTCTCTGCCACGATGCTGTTGTTGCCACCAGCATGGCAGGCAGTGCAGTTGCCCTGGAAGACGGCCTCGCCGTTCTCCAAGTCTGCTGCCAAGGCTGGTCGGGCAGTTGCCACAGCAGCCAGCAGTCCAAGGGCAGCACCAATGGCAATTGGGCTCCAAGATCCAGCAGACTCAGGAGCGACGCTGGAAGCACTTGGCTGTGCCACAGCACCGGCACCCTGCTGCGGCGCACCACGTGGTGTGCTTGCAGGAAGGATGAAGCAGCTGGCGCCGTAGAGCACCAGAGACACTGCGCACACGATGCTGGCAACGCGGGACATGGCAAAGAGGAAACGCTACTAAAAACGTATCTGATGCCAAGTGCTTTGGATAACTGCAACAGGTAAGCCAAATATTCAAACAAGCAATCTCGAGTACTCATGAAAGCTTGCAACTCTCATGAAACAGCAAAAGACCACCACAGCAAAAACAATTGCAAAACATTGCAAATCAATGCAAATCATAGTTCTCTTCAAGAGGATTCAGGAGGAGATTGAGAAGCACCATCAGCACTCAAGATTTTTTTTAAAAAAACATCAAGTCCAAAGACATGCAAATGAAACATGCTGTCCAGCAGAAGTCCAGCCCCTAGTCGAGCTCCACCTAAGTATCATCCAAAAATATCCAAAATCATTTTGTCCAACTCTTTCTATGTCACTGCAGCGGTCATCATCCTCCTCCAGAATCTAAAATTGTTCTGGAAAGGGCAAGATTTGTAACAAAGGGCACCGTTGCTACGGGCAGTATGCCCTAGTCATGTCATCCAGAAAAGATTAAGAATGCTAGGCACTCACGAGAACTCACCACTTGTCGGCCTTGTTGAACACATAGTTTGCCACATCCTGATAGTCATTCCCAAATAACTATTCCCCAAGCATGTTGGACTGCATGCAGAGAAAAAGCAAAAGCGAAAACAAAAGCTGTGACAACCTTGAAAGTACAAGGACTGGCCTCTGGAAAAACAAAGCACCCAGGGTATATGTATATCAGGGTACACGGTATACGGTATACGATTTAATACGAATTAATTATACAATTATACCTGTGATAATGACACACAACCACTCTCTGTCTTGGACTTGTGAATTCAGACAATTCGGTAGTATGCCATGTGCCATGCACTATGCACTGTCCTCGATGTCATCTGGGCCGAGCTTGTCGCCGAAGGCAGGCATGGAGCCGTTGCCGTTGGTGACCTGGGTGATGATGGCACCCACATCGTACTTGCCGTAAGTGACCAGGGCATCCTTCTTCAGCTTCTTCTCTGCCACGATGCTGTTGTTGCCACCAGCATGGCAGGCAGTGCAGTTGCCCTGGAAGACGGCCTCGCCGTTCTCCAAGTCTGCTGCCAAGGCTGGTCGGGCAGTAGCCACAGCAGCCAGCAGTCCAAGGGCAGCACCAATGGCAATTGGGCTCCAAGATCCAGCAGACTCAGGAGCGACGCTGGAAGCACTTGGCTGTGCCACAGCACCGGCACCCTGCTGCGGCGCACCACGTGGTGTGCTTGCAGGAAGGATGAAGCAGCTGGCGCCGTAGAGCACCAGAGACACTGCGCACACGATGCTGGCAACGCGGGACATGGCAAAGAGGAAACGCTACTAAAAACGTATCTGATGCCAAGTGCTTTCAATTTCTATGCAAAACCATTGAGCCAGCAGCCAAAGTTAGCAAAGGCTCAGATTATTTCTCAAGATCAAAAACCTCTTCAACTGTCCCTTCCTGATTTTCTTCCCTGGCCCTCTCTCTTTAGCGGAATTCTTCTGGAAGAAAATGACACTGCACCATCATGCATCTCCAAAAAGTATTCTGTATCATGTTAGCACTGTTAGCACTCAAATTCAGTCAAAATATGTCAAAATGGAATTGGCAAATCTCAAGCTGTCTTGTCATGAGCCAAGTGGAAGCCTGTGCTCTGCCCCCAACAAACTACAATCTCAAAGGTCAAAGGTCGACTGATTTTTTTCAAGGGCGCTTGACACTGCGGTTGAGTTCGTTCTCGATGGAGGAAGTGCCATGTCATAGTAGAGAGGGCAACATTGCTACGCGCAGGATGCTCTCTTGATTTTCTAGGAAAAGATTGGGAGTGCCAACCACTCACCACTTGTCGGCCTTGTTGAACACGTAGTTTGCCACATCCTGATAGTCATTCCCAAATAATTATTCCCAAAGCATGTTTGACTGCGTGCAGAGAAAAGGCAAAAGCGAAAACAAAAGCTGTGACAACCTTGAAAAGTACAAGTACCGGCCTCCGGAAAAACAAAGCACGCAGGGTGTATATCAGGGTATGCGGTATACGATTTAATACGAATTAATTATACCTGTGATAATGACACACAACCACTCTCTGTCTTGGACTTGTGAATTCAGACAATTCGGTAGTATGCCATGTGCCATGCACTGTCCTCGATGTCATCTGGGCCGAGCTTGTCGCCGAAGGCAGGCATGGAGCCGTTGCCGTTGGTGACCTGGGTGATGATGGCACCCACATCGTACTTGCCGTAAGTGACCAGGGCATCCTTCTTCAGCTTCTTCTCTGCCACGATGCTGTTGTTGCCACCAGCATGGCAGGCAGTGCAGTTGCCCTGGAAGACGGCCTCGCCGTTCTCCAAGTCTGCTGCCAAGGCTGGTCGGGCAGTGGCCACAGCAGCCAGCAGTCCAAGGGCAGCACCAATGGCAATTGGGCTCCAAGATCCAGCAGACTCAGGAGCGACGCTGGAAGCACTTGGCTGTGCCACAGCACCGGCACCCTGCTGCGGCGCACCACGTGGTGTGCTTGCAGGAAGGATGAAGCAGCTGGCGCCGTAGAGCACCAGAGACACTGCGCACACGATGCTGGCAACGCGGGACATGGCAAAGAGGAAACGCTATTAAAAACGTATCTGATGCCAAGTGCTTTCAATTTCTATGCAAAACCATTGAGCCAGCAGGCAAAGTTAGCAAAGGCTCAGATTATTTCTCAAGATCAAAAACCTCTCTTCAACTGTCCCTTCCTGATTTTCTTCCTTGGCCCTCTCTGTCTCTCTCCCTCGTAGCATTTTGCTACTATTCCTCTTTAGTTGAATTCTTATGGAAGAAAAGGAGACTGCATCATCATACATATCCACAAAGTATGTTGTATCCTGTTAGCACTGTTAGCGCTCAAATGTAGCAAAAAATGACAGAATGGAACTGGCAAATCTCAAGCTGTCTTGTCATGAGCCAAGTGGAAGCCTGTGCTCTCCCCTCAACAAACTACAATCTCAAAGATCAATGATCTCAAGTTTTTTCAATGGCGCTTGACACTGCGGTTGAGTTCGTTCTCGATGGAGGAAGTGCCATGTCATAGTAGAGAGGGCAACATTGCTACGCGCAGGATGCTCTCTTGATCTTCTAGGAAAAGATTGGGAGTGCCAACCACTCACCACTTGTCGGCCTTGTTGAACACGTAGTTTGCCACATCCTGCAAGTCATTCCCAAATATTCCCAAAGCATGTTGGACTGCATGCGGAGAAAAGGCAAAAGCGAAAACAAAAGCTGTGACAACCTTGAAAAGTACAAGTACCGGCCTCCGGAAAAACAAAGCACGCAGGGTGTATATCAGGGTATACGGTATACGATTTAATACGAATTAATTATACCTGTGATAATGACACACAACCACTCTCTGTCTTGGACTTGTGAATTCAGACAATTCGGTAGTATGCCATGTGCCATGCACTATGCACTGTCCTCGATGTCATCTGGGCCGAGCTTGTCGCCGAAGGCAGGCATGGAGCCGTTGCCGTTGGTGACCTGCGTGATGATGGCACCCACATCGTACTTGCCGTAAGTGACCAGGGCATCCTTCTTCAGCTTCTTCTCTGCCACGATGCTGTTGTTGCCACCAGCATGGCAGGCAGTGCAGTTGCCCTGGAAGACGGCCTCGCCGTTCTCCAAGTCTGCTGCCAAGGCTGGCCGGGCAGTAGCCACAGCAGCCAGCAGTCCAAGGGCAGCACCAATGGCAATTGGGTTCCAAGATCCAGCAGACTCAGGAGCGACGCTGGAAGCACTTGGCTGTGCCACAGCACCGGCACCCTGCTGCGGCGCACCACGTGGTGTGCTTGCAGGAAGGATGAAGCAGCTGGCGCCGTAGAGCACCAGAGACACTGCGCACACGATGCTGGCAACGCGGGACATGGCAAAGAGGAAACGCTATTAAAAACGTATCTGATGCCAAGTGCTTTCAATTTCTATGCAAAACCATTGAGCCAGCAGCCAAAGTTAGCAAAGGCTCAGATTATTTCTCAAGATCAAAAACCTCTCTTCAACTGTCCCTTCCTGATTTTCTTCCCTGGCCCTCCCTGTCTCTCTCCCTCGTAGCGTTTTGCTACTATTCCTCTTTAGTTGAATTCTTATGGAAGAAAAGGAGACTGCATCATCATACATATCCACAAAGTATGTTGTATCCTGTTAGCACTGTTAGCGCTCAAATGTAGCAAAAAATGACAGAATGGAACTGGCAAATCTCAAGCTGTCTTGTCATGAGCCAAGTGGAAACCTGTGCTCTCCCCTCAACAAACTACAATCTCAAAGATCAATGAACTCAAGTTTTTTTTCAATGGCGCTTGACACTGCGGTTGAGTTCGTTCTCGATGGAGGAAGTGCCATGTCATAGTAGAGAGGGCAACATTGCTACGCGCAGGATGCTCTCTTGATTTTCTAGGAAAAGATTGGGAGTGCCAACCACTCACCACTTGTCGGCCTTGTTGAACACGTAGTTTGCCACATCCTGATAGTCATTCCCAAATAATTATTCCCAAAGCATGTTTGACTGCGTGCAGAGAAAAGGCAAAAGCGAAAACAAAAGCTGTGACAACCTTGAAAAGTACAAGTACCGGCCTCCGGAAAAACAAAGCACGCAGGGTGTATATCAGGGTATACGGTATACGATTTAATACGAATTAATTATACCTGTGATAATGACACACAACCACTCTTTGCCTTGGACTTGTGAATTCAGACAATTCGGTAGTATGCCATGTGCCATGCACTGTCCTCGATGTCATCTGGGCCGAGCTTGTCGCCGAAGGCAGGCATGGAGCCGTTGCCGTTGGTGACCTGGGTGATGATGGCACCCACATCGTACTTGCCGTAAGTGACCAGGGCATCCTTCTTCAGCTTCTTCTCTGCCACGATGCTGTTGTTGCCACCAGCATGGCAGGCAGTGCAGTTGCCCTGGAAGACGGCCTCGCCGTTCTCCAAGTCTGCTGCCAAGGCTGGTCGGGCAGTTGCCACAGCAGCCAGCAGTCCAAGGGCAGCACCAATGGCAATTGGGCTCCAAGATCCAGCAGACTCAGGAGCGACGCTGGAAGCACTTGGCTGTGCCACAGCACCGGCACCCTGCTGCGGCGCACCACGTGGTGTGCTTGCAGGAAGGATGAAGCAGCTGGCGCCGTAGAGCACCAGAGACACTGCGCACACGATGCTGGCAACGCGGGACATGGCAAAGAGGAAACGCTATTAAAAACGTATCTGATGCCAAGTGCTTTCAGTTTCTATGCAAAACCATTGAGCCAGCAGCCAAAGTTAGCAAAGGCTCAGATTATTTCTCAAGATCAAAAACCTCTCTTCAACTGTCCCTTCCTGATTTTCTTCCCTGGCCCTCCCTGTCTCTCTCCCTCGTAGCGTTTTGCTACTATTCCTCTTTAGTTGAATTCTTATGGAAGAAAAGGAGACTGCATCATCATACATATCCACAAAGTATGTTGTATCCTGTTAGCACTGTTAGCGCTCAAATGTAGCAAAAAATGACAGAATGGAACTGGCAAATCTCAAGCTGTCTTGTCATGAGCCAAGTGGAAACCTGTGCTCTCCCCTCAACAAACTACAATCTCAAAGATCAATGAACTCAAGTTTTTTTCAATGGCGCTTGACACTGCGGTTGAGTTCGTTCTCGATGGAGGAAGTGCCATGTCATAGTAGAGAGGGCAACATTGCTACGCGCAGGATGCTCTCTTGATTTTCTAGGAAAAGATTGGGAGTGCCAACCACTCACCACTTGTCGGCCTTGTTGAACACGTAGTTTGCCACATCCTGAAAGTCATTCCCAAATATTCCCCAAGCATGTTGGACTGCATGCAGAGAAAAAACAAAAACGACAACCTTGCAAAGTACAAGGACTGGCCTCTGGAAAAACCAAACGCGCAGGGTATACATATCAATGTATTCAGGGTATACGAGTTGAAATACATGTGCTGGAAGGAAGTTTACAAGTCAAACTTCGACAATATGGACAGATGAAAAGCAGAGATGGGAAGAGTCAGAGAAGAGAAGAGAAGAGAAGAGAAGAGCAGAGGAGAGCAGAGGAGAGCAGAGGAGAGGAGAGGAGAGGAGAGGCGAGGCGAGGAGAGGAGAGGAGAGAAGAGAAGAGAAGAGAAGAGAAGACAAGAGAAGAGAAGAGAAGAGAAGAAGAAAGAAGAAAGAAGAAAGAAGAAAGAAGATCCAGGTGCGCAAAAAAAGTCGGAAAGCCGCGATTCACTCTGTTTTTCCAATGATTTGTGGCTCTGGAGGGTCGAAAAGTATGCTCACTAAAGCGGCGGGTGCGGAGCCATCTGGCGGGATGAGAGATGAAAAGAAGCACGACGTTGTGGCGCGAAGCACATTTGCAAGTGAAAAAGCTAAAACAACACCTCACATTCGGAGCACTTTTGGAAATTGAGATGTCGAAAAAATGCACGCCGTTGTGGCGCGAAGCACATTTGGAAGTCAAACTGCACAAAACCTCATGTTCGGACGATTTTTGGGAGTTGAGATGTCGAAAAAGTGCATGCCGTTGTGGCGCAAAGCACATTTGGAAGTCAAAATGTACGAAGCACACCATTCTCGGACCACTTTTGGAAGTTGAGATGTCGAAAAAGTGCACGCCGTTGTGGCGCGAAGCACACTTCCAAGTCAAAATGTAGAAATCACACCAGCTCCGGACCACTTTTGGAAGTTGAGATGTCGAAACAGTGTATGCCGTTGTGCCCCGAAGCACGTTTCGAAGTCAAAATGTACAAAGCACACCACGTACAGAGCACTTTTGGAAGTTGAGATGTCGATAAAAAGTGCACGCCGTTGTGGCGCGAAGCACATTTGGAAGTCAAATGTACGAAACACACCATTCTCGGACCACTTTTGGAAGTTGAGATGTCAAAAAAGTATTTTAAAAAAAAGTGCACACCGTTGTGGCGCGAAGCACATTTCCAAGTCGAACCAGCTCCGGGCCACTTTTGCAAGTTGATATGTCGAAAAAGTGCACGCCGTTGTGGCACGAAGCACATTTCGAAGTCAAAATGTAAAAAACACCACATGC